ACCTCGAGCTATCTAGTAGCAGTTTGCACTAATCTGGCTGGTTTATCCCTTTCCCGCGCTTGTTGCCGCTTTTGCCGCATCGCCGTCTTCCTTCTATCCTTCTCGTTGGTGTTGGCGGGGGCCAGCTCTGTCTGATTCGTGCCCGCCGTGACCATGGGATTTTACCTACATCTGCAAGTTTGAGCGGCCGGTGAAAGGGGGTTGGCTATACGGGATGCTCTACTGCTGCTCTGCTTACTTCGCCCGGGCTTTTCGAATAAGCAAAAATCGGCGATCCGTCGCGATGGAAGGGTCGCCTTGCCTACCTAGTACCTAGCATACCGGTTCGTTCAAACGTACATCTTACCTCATCCCGTCACCCGGTTCAGCTCATATTCGCGCGCACGTTTGATGAATCCCATTAGGGTGTTGTCGTAAAAAACAGAAAAATCCAGACCTTTGACTATCAAGGCCGCGGCTTTCCTTCGGAGGGTGACACATCCAACCGCGACATGGATAGATTTCCAATTGATTGCCTCGCGTCCTTGTACGTGGGGGGTTTCGATGAACGGGGGCCTCTTGTTTGCCGGCGTCCTGCTCCGGCTTGCCAGAAATTGAACTAGCATCGTGTTTTCGTTTATCCTAGGAACTTCGGTTTTACAGTAGCTACCAAGCTACCACGGTTCACGGCACAGCACTATTGTTAGCCTCTGATCTAGCGTCAGAGAAGACGCATGGCAGCTGGCGGTGCGCTAACAGCATGTAGGGATGAGGATCGGTCGCCTTTTGTCGAACAGGATATAGCCTGTCGAGTCCGTAATCCGCTGTCACACGCACACACACGTTTGGTACGAGGTACATTCTTTGCGATCCTTACATGTATGCTGTGTAATACCTATAAGACGGAAAACGCCCTTCAATATGCAAATCTTTGGGTTACGGTATGTATGGTACAGTTCGAAACTAGACGGGACAGAACGCCCCCTACACAAGAGCCGACGTCACAAGAACGGGAGGAACGCCTAGCAGGGGTTTTTTGGCCTCGTTAGGTCCCGGGTCCCCAGAATCTCAAATGCCCAGCCTGCAAGACGGCCACTTATGAGATGCCGCGCACCTTGGCATCTCATTGCCAAGAGAGCCGCATCTCGAAGCAAAGTACATATTTAGAACTACATGGTATGCAGTACATATCATGAATACAAGGCCAGCCCTGAGCAGAACTAGCCATGAGATGTGAGGCTCTACGATGAAGGATCTCCAATAACCCATTACGGTTCTACGACCTGTAGGCCTTCCACAACCCTCGCACCGCTTCGCTGCGGGATTTCATCTTCGATGAGCTATATGTGCGTGAGATCTTCGGCCCTGCAATAAGCGTGGCGAAAGGTCCAGCCAGGCGTGAGCGAGAGTGGGCGACTCAGTAAGTAATCGCGAGTGTGACACATTTCTTAGGCGGTATATTGAATCTCGACCCAGGTCGATGGGATGTGTCGCCAAAGTCTTCTATACTTCCTCGAAACTTCGTCGTTGGGATCACCTACTACAACATGCCGTTACCCGGTATCTACCATGATACACCTTTGCCTTACCCGAGCCTGCGCCTAACCCTCCCTTACCGACTGAGTTATAATATTTTGTGATTGGGCTGAGCTATAATAATAAAATATCCTTCGAAAATTGTTCTTCTGCTCCGGGAGGTGTGGGTGTCATGCGGCATAAGATGTATGCTGTGTATGTGCGTGTGTTTGTGTCGGTGTGTGACATGATATGTCGTCTTTGCTGCTTCGAGCTGGACGCATCGGGGCTTTATTAGTTTATGGGGGACCTCCTCTTACCACATGCCTGGCCCCCTTCTCCGATGGCTTCTGCCATGTCACCTCATGCAGAGCTACCATACCACCAGCTCCCACCATTTTCGTCGGTACTTATATACCTACCTCGAATATATATAATACGGGCGTATATTGCATCACATAGAGTACGTACATGCGGCCTCGAGGGACGGGGCCAGCAGATCATATACCGGTGAATGCGTATCTCAGCTATGGCAATCTACGTATGTAGGTGGTATTGCGGTATATGCGTATGTACGTCCGTCCCATATGCCGCGTAACCCCTCGACGGTTGCACGCGAAAAGCTTGTCAAAGCTTGTTCGGTCTTGGCTTCTCTCCCGCGACGCTGGGACGGCTTGGTGGCTATGCGCCTTCGCTACCTGCTGCTGGGGACGGCACGGGAATTGTTTGCTCAGGAGTCGCGGGCTCTGGGCTCCTGCTGCGGCAGTGCGGCGGTGCGGTGATGCGACGATGCTGGTTCTACGATGCCTAGATGTGCGAGCTGTTTGCCAGATGGAGGTGGCTTTACTACATGGTTCTCCTTTAGATGACGACGATGACTTCGATGTCCCAGGGCCTGGTGCTTAGGTCGCGATGAATGGGTAGGCGCTGGGCGGGAGAGCAAGAGGAAGGGCTCCAGCACAGGATTCGAATGCGGATGTGGGGACGGATATGACGCAGAGGATCAGTTGACAGGACGGTTTTTGCCGTCGGGATTAATCGTGTTGTTTGCGAGAATGAGTGAGAAGATGACACGACGAGAGACCGGAAGAGGCGTGCCGAGATTTTCCAGCTCATCTGAGATCTACCGGCCCTTACACGGGTTGAGGTCCTTCAGGGGAAGTTTCGGGATGGGATCGTAGCGCATCATAGATCACGCTACGTGTTTATGAAAGGCCCCTTACTTCATGTCTACAGCTTGTGATGCTCGTAGGAAGGAAGCGGTGAAGATAGCACCACCGTGACGAGCCCTTCTCACCACCACGATGCCGAAATGATCCGGCGGCGCTCGGGTGATGTCGGACATGGAAGCACCGCCCGGTTCGTCCCGGCTCGGGGGCTCCTTCCGTGTCATTCCGGGGTTCCTTCCCTGGATGGTATGAGGAGGCCGATCAAGCGCAACTGCGACCGCGCGGTAGATACGGGGTAGGTACGGAGTAGAGTAACGTCAAGCGGTGGTCATGCTCGCCGAGTCCGGACCTTATGTATGTAGGTGCGCTTGATGTAGTTAGCCAGTCATGAGTGAACATGATGATCACGCCATATCTTCCGTCGTCGGATAATGGTCTATTCTTCTACATACTCCCTGCCCATCAATTTCATAGGGAATGATCTCATTATAGCTTCTTTACACTAACACTAATCAAGGACTTAATGATGTTAGATAGTCTAATCAACTATTTAACATTAAGAAATTACTTTAATAATTGTATTGTATCACGTTGTTGCGATACCCCTAAAGCGTCAGCTCATGAAAGAAGCGTACAGAACTACCATTGTCACCATCTCAGTAGACCCATCGCTACTATACTTAGAGACCTAGGTAGCGCTACGAAAGAGAGGGGAATAATTTACATATTGCCTCCAAGTGAGGAAGCCTGAGGTTCTGAATCCTTGGTGTTTTGCCTGAAAAGGGGGTTGGGGTTACATTGATTAATAAGGATGAGTTCAAAAAGGGGTAAGGGAGAGAAACATGAAGGTCAACCCTAACTTAATATACATACTTAAGGCCATGTTTTCTCATAAATTCCCATAAAACGGCTTATAGCTCTATGGATTACAGCGACAGCTCTTTCAAATTAATAGTTCTCAAGTATAATTTAGCTCTATTACAACATTAGATAACGCAGGAAACCGTCATTCAAACAAATGAGGACCCTCCATACCATGATTGTTGTAGAGGCCAACGTGAATCGATCTAAACTCTCAATACTATGTGGATGTTAGGAAGACTTGGAACTCCTTCCTAGCTTATCTAAAACTCATCTTTACTATGAGGAACGTTTGAGGATCTTATTCCGTACCATCTTAAGAGCCGTGATGTATACCCACTTTTCGACTGCTCCATCCGGATTCGGCCCCCAAATGGAGGCCGAAATTTTCCCATCTAAACTTTACAGTCCGTCTACATACTTTAGTTTTAATAATACCACCGAAATTCACCAATCAGACTTTGGAACGCTCTTTCAAACAAGATCTAGGATCCCATAGCTCAGTTGGTCAGAGCGTCGTACTAATATGTTTCTGTCTCCTGGATAGGAAATACTAAGTAATGCGAAGGCCGAGAGTTCAAGCCTCTCTGGGATCATTGATTTTTTCTTTTGCTTTTTATCGCCAATAACTATCTATCCAACTTCGATCTTTCTATTCTTTTTTCGGTCGCATATTTTCTTGAATATGAAAGAAACCCTTCCCTCAGTATTAATTTCTGTTTTGTTAATAGTTGTCGCTTCCCAAATTTTAAGGCATCGCATTTACCCCCATCGCTTTTGAATAAGATATGTTAACACGAAGGTTGAAAATTTACGACCCTAAAAGGTCATCGCTATCACTTTTTAAGCAGTTCTGAATTATAGAGTCAACTTGCGATATTTCTACCCACTTCCCCAGCGTTAAAGCTCTCTCAGCATCTAGAAGGTCGTCGCGAGGAAAAGAGGAAGCATAGAGATAATCATCTATCTTAATGCTTTACATACCTAGGTGATGGAGACTTAATGAGTGATGTGCGGTTCAGCACATTAAAAGAGCTGCGCATAGCTCGACTCGTTAGCTAAGTAATGTTATGTCTTGCGACATTGTTTCTATGCCTATCACGAAGAGAATAGATCACTTGATGCTATACTACGCGGAGCATAGCAGATAGGATTTCCTGCAAGAAAACAATATCCCACATGCAAGGCAGACTAACTGAGATCTAAACCAGATTTTTCTCTGATTATACCAATAGGGGGATTGAAATAATAGCTGCCGACTTCTCACCTCTATTCTCTGTGCTTTATTTCATGGTGAGATATTCTTTTGTAGCATTTTCGGACTGCACTTATGTATCTTGCTCGCTGACTTAAGCTATCCAGTTTTTTTTCCGGCGAAGGAAGAACATAAAAGCCGTTGAAATGTTTGCTCACATTCTTCGACAATCCTAAGAGCTTAGGTGATCCAATGATTCATCCAAATCCAAGAAGACAGCAGGCTCAATGGTCTAGTGGTAGGATACTCGCTTCGGGTCTAGTCGTAAAAGACGGGAAATCCCAATCTCAGAGAACGAGAAGCTGTGAGTGGTCCCGGGTTCAAATCCCGGTTGAGCCCGCCTTCCTTTTTGTTGACGCTCTTGCCTACTCGGTGGAGCTCGGGAGGTTGTTCGGACACCGGATGATCACTCGGAGGACAGCTACGGCTAGTGCGGATCTAGCGGTGACAAATCCTTTTTGTGTGGACCAGTTATCGACGAACAAGCATATATATGGGCCATTCGAATGGTCAATGCCGAGAGTATGCTCGCCGGTATCGGCAAATATGGAATTTGGGTTGATACGGAGGATGTGGGTATAGAATACCGAAGATATAACGGGATGAGGATCATGGTAGAAAGGTTGCTATTGAGTAGGCGATGTTGTTAAGAGTAGGAAGAACTGAGAATTCATTGGCGTTAAGAAGACATCTGTTGAGTTTAGGCCTAGGCTTTCTTATGATATGACTAAAATATAGCAACGAGTGTCTTCAATATCAAGCATATCGACCTAATAGGGATAGTAACAGGGTGGACTGTATTCATATTGAAAGCAGCGATGGGACAACCTGGCTGCTTCACATAGAATCAACTATCTAGCAAATCTGTTCGTTCCTCAACAGATCCAGCTAAACTAAACACGTCCCGTCAAAAACAGCCCCTTTTCACTTTCCAGGAAGCCTCCCTCCTTCTCCCGCCTCCCACCGTCTCAACCCTCTGGCTAAGCTACCCACCGTGCTCTTCGCCCAATCTGCCACCTCTCCAACCCGCCCATTCACAGCATCCTCCTCGAAACTGACTCTGCCATACCACCAATCCAACCACGTCTCCGCCCGGGCACCCTCGGGAGCATCTAGGAGCCCAACGCTGACGTCGACGATCCCCGGACGCCAGCGGTCGTGCCAGAAGACAGTAGCGCCGCAGCGCGGGCAAGACTCACGCAGCACGCCAGGCGAGCTCTCGTAGCTCCGCAGGATGCCTTTCGGGAGAGTAGGGAAGTCGAGCGGGATAAGCGTATCCCCGGACACGGCACTAGGAGAAGGGGGGAGGAAGAAGATATTACTCCTCGGCACGAACGCCCACGTCTGGACCTCGAAGCCGGACGTCAGACGGCACGAGCGGCAGGCGCAGGTACCCGCCAGATACTTGGTCGGGATCGGGGAACCCGGCGGACGGAGCCACCATTTCTCGTTCCGGGGATTGCTGATGACTTCGCGTGGAGAGGTGGCGAATGGGATCATCAGGTCCGGGAAGCCGGAGTGCGGGATTCGGCTCGAAGCGTCGGGGCGTGTGATGCGGAACCGAACGGTTTTGCAATAGCAGTGTGCTTCGAGCACATCTTTATCGGAGGTTTCCACGTCCTTTCTCTCCTCTGTTGGGTCTATCGTAGACGGTAGTGGCACTTCGTCGCCATGTCCATAAACCCCTGACCCACGCGGCTCTTCGACGTCCTCTATAAATGGCGACAGCCCGCCGTCCCTGGTTCCGGCGACATTCACATGCCCGGCAAACCTTAGGAACGGATGCTCGCTCCTATCGTCCGCCTCTACCGGCTCCCCATCAGCACCCTCTCCAGATCCAGCTCGTCCACTGATGATGCCCGTAGCTACGGCCCACAGCCCATCAGCTCCTCCAGCATCGCCGGCAGAGCCTTGTTCTCGTTGGAAGACACGACACCCGCAGGTGCCACAGAAATAGCGCCGGAGTCGTGCGGCCTCGTCGTCATAAGCTACGAGGCCGTTAACAGACTGTGGCGGCTGGATAGGGGCGTACGAGACGTATAGGAGACCGCTTGAATGACGGCACGTGTCGCAATGGCACAATTTAATATCCAGCTGTCCGGGCGCCGCTTGTTCTCCTGGAAAACGGAGGACCACTACCTGCTTTGCGGCGCCGCAGAGGCAAGAGATCGAAACCTCGGAGACTTTTAAAGACATCAGGGGCTATCTAAGGTAGGTCGCTTATTAGATAGATCACGTTGCCTTGTGAATTGTTTCTTAATACTTATCAAGTAACCCCCTTCTGGTATCACAATAAGCTGCACACGTCTATGAACTTATTGGAAGGTAATCGGAGAATACGTACTACATATAACTGGATGCTTAGACTCAGGTGCCGCGATTAGGAGCCTGGGTGGTAACCTACGCCCTTAGTATGGCGGAACTTCGGCCCGTTGAATGCAAGCTATTGCAGTTGGAGACGCACGACAACCCTTTTACTCTGGGGATCGTGACGAACAAGTTTCACACCACCTTGGCGTTGAGACATTTCAATTCATCGAAGGCACACATGAATAGTGGAAATTTTCAGATTAAAGGAAATGGGCTGTGCTCAGCAGGTGTATCTGACATAGTTTTCTCTTCACGGGGCTATCACGCCAATCCCCTCTCTTACTTTTTTTCCTTTGCATTCCACATTTCCCAAGATTTTTTTCCCCTCCGTGATCTTCATTAGTAATGGTGGTATACATGAGCCTAGACACGCCGTCCGACCCGCCAAATGCTTTGCATTCAGAAAGAACAAACACCAGTGGAGATTTTCTTCGTCAGGATTTGGTGACGCGATGAGAAAATGATGCCAAATTAAGAGCTTGAACGATGGACTGGGGCGTTTAAACTGTCGCCTCATTGCCCTCGCTAGCTGGCTTAGGAACTGACCGTTCGGCTTCCTTCTCGCCGTCCTTGCTCGATGACGCTTCCTTGGGGATAGGGTCATCCTTGATTAACTTCTTAGTCTCCTGATTGGCACCCTCGACATCAGGATGAGGTGGTGCTACGCCCGCAGCGGCTAACTCGTCTATCGGCACTTCTACTTCGTTGCCGTTGGCGTCGACTACGCGCGTTCTCGTTTCGTACTTGGTCTTGAATTCGACTTTGCCTTCGAGCGCCTTCACTTGTTCTTCGTTAAGAAGGTTGCCGTTCTGATCTCGGTATTCAACTCGTTCCTCTCGTCCGACCACTTTTTGGCTCTCGGGCTCGAATATGGGCGCCCCAGAGATGCCGGCGTTTGGAGAATCTTGAGCATTTACAACTGCAGGTTGCTGGACTGCTGGCTTCTTGTTCTCTACAGCAACGGCGGGAGTTTGAGAGATCTTGCTCGGGATGGCACCGATTCCAGAGTATGCGTCGTACTGTAAGAACCACATTAGCCTACTATTTGACAAATTGCAAACCCTTTCCTATACGCTTTATATCCATATTTAATCGTCCAAATTGGGGACAGGAACATACGAGCGTCGTCGGGCTTTAACCCCGTCCTCTGGATGGCATGCCTTGGGGAGGGACACTCACATTCTCTAAGAAAGTATTGCAATCCCAATCCCAGGTGCCAAATAACTTTACGCGGCTGCATTCGCTCTTGGTCCAGGCGTTTCCATACGCGAGAGGCGAATAGAGAGCAAAGACGACTGCAGAAATTCCCAAGAGCGCAACTACACCGACCTTGTTGACGATGGGGTTTTCTCTAACACCTGGGATCGCGATTCGAGCTGTGGCAAAGTCGTAAGTCTGGCAGAATGCCATGATGGCGAAGACCAATGCTGGGAAATAGTGGTGCAAGAAGAGTTGACGCTGCATCAGGAAGAATGGGAAGTAGTGGAAAGCCCATCCGAGAACCAAGGTTCCAATTTCATAATCGAATCGCTTGAAGGTAGCGTTCGAGTAGTCATTGCAGCTACGTTGCCATCGAAGAACCGCAATACCCTTGAAGAGCACATAAATGGCAACTGCAAGAGTCGAAGTGTACCAGATAATAGGGTTGCCCATCAAGTAGATTTGGCGGTGCTCTTTACCCCAGAAGTTGATACCACGACGAAGGATGGGCCAAGACTCGGGACGAGAGTCCCAGGCGTGAGACTCAACCAGACCTGCGTTTGTTCTCCACATGACCTTCTGCAGTTCCCAGAATTTGCCAAAGAACCCAGGGTTAACATAGTTGACCTTTTCGGCGTCACTGGCTAGCTGGGGATGCGTGTTGGATTCGATGTACCATAAACTGTTGGGAAGAGTACCACCCTTGGCACAAGTCACTTCTTGCTGTTCAGACGCCCACTCCGGCAATTTGACCTTGTGGGAGAAGAGCACACAACCGGTCATGATATGGACGAGTCTGAACTTGGTCTGAATGGTACGAAGTCGCTCTCTGGAAACTGACGTAAGAGACTGCTTCTTAGCAATTTCAACACGGAATAGATCATTGGCGTCACCACCAAATCCCTCATATCCATAGGCAGACACTTCATTTTGCCAATCGGCCTCAGAAACAGGTGGTCGGACATCGTGAGAGTGAAGGCGGCGGTGAGTAGCCAGATGGTATAATCGGATCACATCACCGTCCTTGATATAGTGCTCAGTAATGTTCTTTACCTCATCCCAAGCGAATGTTCCGTTGATAGCTTCACCGCTCACATCCAATGGCTGCGTCTGGTTCTCGAGTAAGAATAAGTTGTTCTCATCCTTGTGAGGATAGAGAGTGATTTGCTGCTGCTGACTGCCCGTTGGGTACATTAGGGGATGAGAATGAAGGTAGCCGCCTTGGGTGTTGACATGTCGAATAGAGACACGGCTACCAAAAGCAACATCGACTGGCACATCTTGCATACCCTTGTTATTCAACGTAGCCTGGAACTCGGAGCTCATGAATCCATCTCCGTCACCGGGGTTTGCCAAGCAGAGGAAGTGGACGGCAAACATGGCCATGTAGAAGGTAATGGGAATGATGATCAAGCAGAAAGCACGGGCCATGAAATGCTTTGCGAAGATGCGCATAGTGACGGTCTTCGTGTCGCCAAGCAGTACCCATAGCTGTACAAGAGTCAAAGATCCAACCCAGGCGATTGTAAAAAGGCCAACCCATTTGATGCTGACAGTAATTCCCATTCCCAGACCGGTCATGACGAGCCAGAACCACCAGCTTGCGTCAAACGCCTTGGAGGGACCTTGTTCATGCTGGTTGGAAAAGGAGGTGAAGGCGAGGGCAGTAAATGCAGTCGCGGCAACGAGAGGGGAGTCGAGTAGGATCAGTCGTGCCTGAGTAAGGAGACCATTCTCTGTATTGTGTATTAGTACATAGCCGACACCAA